CGCCTTGCCATTCAAGTCTTGTACTCAATATATATTCGACCTCGAGACTCAATAATACATCCACCGAATTTCACCATCCTCCTCTCTATTTCCTTCTACACTCATCCCGACGCAGGCACTAGACCTGCAACTCCTCTCTTTTTGCTGCCATTGCAGGAGGCGGAGTAGCCACATATCTCTCGGCTCCCAAAACACTGCACCTGATCGGGAGAAGGGGAGGAATGTTCCTTCCTTCTCTCCTACCATGATCACCATTGCTGCTGACGCGGATCTTCCTAGCCTGCTCGACTTGTTGGGAAGGGAATCCCGGTGTAGGCATCCATAGCACTGGCAGGCGCATCTTGGCCCTCCCGCGCCCCGCAGCTGCGAGCCCTACCATAGTACCATGGTTGTCGCTCCGGATATCCAGCAAACCTCAGATTTTGGAAGTATGACAAATCGAACGTCTTTTCATGGCAAGTTTAGTTGGCGAGCAAGACAAATTCGCCTTTTTTTGCCAGGAAACTTACATCCTTGCAAACTAGATTTGTCATCCTATAAATTGCCATGAAAATCATTCGATTTGCCATGTCTGAAAATCTAATGTCGTTTATTTAGCTTTTTTGTTAATTAAACCACAATGATCATAATTTTTTGAAAGAAACAGACTCCTCTTTCTGAAATGTGCAACATTAATTTAACCACAATGAACATAGACTTGAAAGAACAAACTCTTCTTATTGAAATGTGCAACATTAATTAAACCACAATGAACATATAGACGTAAAAGAAACAAACTCCTCTTATTGAAATGTGCAACGCGACGTACATGGTGACGAAAGGACAAGGGAACATATAACAACAACTCAAAAGTCAAAACACAAGCCCAGACCCCTCAAGCTTGTGTTGGACGATGCGGTTGAACTTGTCCCCCATCTCGTGGCTCATGTGGTTTGCCCAGTCCCCCACTTGGACTTCTCCTTTTCTATAAAACGCCGAACTACCAATGGAACCGCTGTCACCGTGACGAATGCCACCGACCTGGTTCACCTGCAAGCTGGTGAGCGTTTCAAAGCTGCACAGCCGCACCACCTCCTGAGCAACGCCGGAGCTCTCCTCCTCTTCGGTCGGCGGGACGCGGAGGAATTTCACCAGCTTCCTCACGACCTGCGCCAGATCGGACATGATCTCTTCGTACTTCAAGAATAGGACGCTGTCCGGCCTTGCCACACTCTCCCTCCAGTACTCGAGGCAGTGATCCCAGAAGGGGCCATAAGGCGAGAACCTCTCGCAGAACATGCTGAAAGATCCGTCCATGGATAGGTCGGTGCCCGGAAACGCCTTGTTCTTGAAGTGCAGCCTTGACACGAGAGCGTCTTTGGGGTCCCGCCACAGGTACACGACTCGGCAACCGAGTGATCTATGCCTGGCGGGAGCAACAACATGGGCCTGTGCGTGGCGAGAAGCCTAGGAGACGCAAGGTGGTGAATGTCCGTGTGGCTCGTGACGGCACCAGGGGTCTGGATGAACGGCACGAGATGCTGAGGGTGGTGTTTGAGGAGTGGGTGGTCGCTGAACCCGTAGCGGGATTGGTTACGTTGGTGATGGTGAAGGCGAGGGCCTTGATCCAGGTGGTGCCGCATTTGGGCTGCGTGGCGAGGATGATGTCATCGGCACGGGGCACGAAGGGCTGCTTCACCGGCAGGATCCGCTCGAGGTGCCACGGTCTGAACCAGTAGTTGTGGTATTGAACCATAGTTTTAAATAGCCGGCTATAGCCCCGCTATAGCTGCTTGAGCATGTTGCCGCTAAATGATTTCATGTACAATTTACCGCTATAGCCCAGCTATAGCTGTTTTTAATGGTCACCGCTATATGCTATAGCCCGCTATTTAAAACATTGTATTGAACGAATGGTTCAGACCACCCCTCTCTTGCTGGAGGTGTGGCTACGGGATCTTTGGGTAAGACATCTTCTTGTGTCTGTTGAACTCTCGGTAGTAGCACTCTCTGGATTACTCATCATCAGTGGAGCTACTACTGGTTGAGCAGCCATGGCTGAGGTGGGAGGGGAGGCGAAGATGGCTTAATTTGCCCAATGTATGCTACTTACTTACCTTGTAAAAAGGGCATGTTTAGGCTAGCTGTGAAGGCAACATATTGAATACATTTTCTTCATCAGCCGGTTGGTGCGGTGACGGAACGTACTACCATGATTTTATTTTATATACATATATACACATTTTCTATCCAAAGTGAAGGCTGCGTGATTGCTTACATTTTCTGTATGCATGCGATGAACGTGGCACTCACATGGCCTTTTCCTGGCCACACGAGACACCGACAGGACTGCGTGCGTGCACGAGATGGTGGATGGCCTCATGCAGCTCCAATGCTCCATTCCCACCTAAAACATATCCACGAGTAATATTTTTGTATGGACACGAGTAATATATGTTGTCAGCTATGACAATCAAGCTGAATCTTCCATATATTCTTTGGGAAACACACACACACATATATAAAACAATAAAAATATCACAATAAATCAAAGTTTGGCCCATTTACCACCTAATTATTCATTCGAGTACAATTCATATATGTTTTGCTGTTTGATAAAGAAAGCTCACTCTTCGATTTCTCTAATTAACAAATGTCTTGTTAAAAAAGAGGAAAACATGAGAAAGCAAAGCAAGGAAACTGAAAAAAATCCCATCCCTCCCTCACCCCTCCCGCGACGTCGCCGCAAGGAGACGGGAGGAACCATAGCTACTGCCTACCTCCTCCTCTGCCGCAGCCAAAGGCTGCGGAGGGGCTAGCCGACGTCAGGTGGGGCTCTCGGCTGGCGGCTGGACACACAGTTAGGCGAGCAATGGCAAGTCCGACGCGTGATGGTGATGGGTTGCGTGTAATGGGCCGCGTGTCGATGCAAGCTTGCCTCATCAGGTGTTAGCCACGGCGGCCGGCGACGACCTCCCCTCCCCCCCTCCCCGATCTACCATTTTGGTGGTGCTTAGCGGTGCATGTGGGGCACCTCGGATCGGTGTAGATCTAGGGAAGGGTGGGCCTGATGTTGCTCGGGATCCTAAGGGCAGTGATGGGGTGGGCCGATTGCTGCGGTTTGGCCGCGGTGCAATCCGTGTCGATGGTGTCGGGCATGCCCGACTAGGTTCAGCGGGCGACGCTAAGGCGTTGACTCAGATCCAATGGCTAAGACTGGACTAGGAGTGGAAGGAGATGCCTTCCACTCTTCCTATCATGGTGGATGCGTTGTGATATGGACGGCTTGCGGTGTCTAGGGACATGGATGCCGGAGCGGCTTCCTTGGATGGCGGTCCGCATGGTTACCAATTTTCCGGGCTCCATGTCGGTTGTGGTGACTGTGGTTGTGGTCTTGGTCATTTGTGTGGCGAGGGTTGTACCGGCGGGTGGCTTGGGCTCACTCTCCGGCATTTGAAGTGGCGGCACCTAGATCTGAATCTGGAGGGTGAGCTACAAAGCAAAAGCTCGATGCTTTGGCGCTGATGGCAGTGGTGCCCACGGTGTTGATTTCCTCTTGAGGGAGGAAAGATTGATCAGGATCTGTCGCAACACATCACATAGAGAAAGAGAGGAGAGGCTAGAGGGGCGAGAGAACCTCCATGGCATCGCACTAGCAGCAGGTTCGAAGGAGCACGGAGCAACCGGTCCCTCTCCTCGTCGCCTGTGCAGAATCTACAATAGAAAAAAATGTGCTTCCCCACCCCTAGGCAAGCACTAGACCTGCAGCTTCTATATTGTCGCCGCCATGGGAGGTGGAGTCACCACATACCTCGTCGTCTCCCACAACACTACACCAGACCGAGAGAAGGGGAGGAAAATTGCTGCCTCCTCTCCCAGCCATGAGCACCGTTGCGGCCGTCAAGAATCTAGGAGTCGCCTGACCTGCTTGATCTATGGGGAAGGGAATCCCGATGTAGGCATTCATGGCACCAGTAGCCGCATCTTGGCCATGCCGCCCCGCCATGGTTGTCGCTTCAAATATCCATCGAACGTCAGATTTTTAGGCATGACAAATTAAACGTTTTTAATGACAAGTTATGTTCATCAAGGAAGAGAAGTTTAGTTGATGACCATGAAAAATCCACCTCGGTTTAATTTTTTGCACATAATTCAGGTGCTTGCAAATAAATTTGCCATCCTATAAATTACGATGAAAATCGTTCGATTTGCCATGGCTAAAATTCACACATCAGATTTTAGCATTTTCGTTAATTAAAACACAATTGACATAGTAGACTTGAAAGAAACAAGCTCCTCTTAATGAAATGTCCAACATCAATTAAATCAAAATGGACATAGACTTCAAAGGAACAAACTTCTCTTATTGAAATGTGCAATGCAACGTACATGGTGAGGAGAGGAGAAGCGAACAGATAATAACAACTCAAAACACAAGCCCAGATCCCTCAAGCTTGTGTTGGACGATGCGGTCCAACTCCTCCCCCATCTCCTGGCTCATGTGGTTTACCGAGTCCCCTACCTCTCCTTTTCTGTAAAACACAGAGTTACTCATGACAATGTTATCACTGAAATGAACGCGGCCGACCTGATTGACTTGCAGGCTGGTAAGTGCCTCAAAGCTGCACAGCCTCACCACCTCCTCAGCAACACCGGACCTCTCCTCCTCCTCGGTCAGTGGGATGCCGAGGAATTTCGCCAGCTTCCTCACAACCAGCGTTGGATCGGACTTGATCTCTTCGTACTTAAGGAAGAGGACGCTGTCCGGCCTTGCCATGCTCTCCCTCCAGTACTCGAGGCAATGATCCCAGAAGGGGCCATAAGGCGAGAATCCCTTGCAGAACATGCTGAAACATCCGTCCATGGATAGGTCGGTGCCCGGAAACGCCTTGTTCTCGAAGTGCAGCCTTGAGACAAGAGCGTCCTTGGGGTCCCGGCACAGGTACACGACTCGGCAACCGAGTGATCTCATGCCTGGCGGGAGCAACGACATGGGCGTGTGCGTCGCGAGAAGCCTCGGGAACCCAAAGGGGTCGATGTCGGTGTGGCCCACACCAGGGATCTGGATGAACGGCACGAGATGCTGAGGGTGGTGTGTGAGGAGCGGGTGGTCGCTGAAGCCGTAGCGGGATCGGTTGGTTATGGTGAAGGCGAGGGCTTTGAGCCAGGTGGTGCCTGCTTCACGAGCAGGATCCGCTTGAGGTGCCACGGTCTGAACCAGTAGTTGTGGTATTGAACCATAGTTTTAAATAGCCGGCTATAGCCCCGCTATAGCTGTTTGAGCATGTTGCCGCTAAATGATTCAGTAGTTGTGGTATTGAACGAGTGGTTCAGACCACCCTTCTCTAGCTGGAAGCGTGGCTACCAAATCTTTGGGTAAGACATCTTCTTCTTGTGTTGTTGAACTCTCGGTAGTAGCCCTCTCTGGATCACTCATCATCAATGGAGCTACAACTGGTTGAGCAGCCATGGCTGAGGTGGGAGGGGAGGCGAGGATGGCTTAATTTGCCCAATGTATGCTACTTTCCTTGTAGGAGGGAGATGTTGAGGCTGGCTATAAAGGCCAAATACTGATTACATTTTCTGCAGCAGCCTGTTGGTGCAGTGATGGAACGTACTACCATGAGTTTATTTTTATATATAAACATTTTCTATCCAAAGAGAAGGCTGCATGATTGCTGACGTTTTATGTATGCATGCGATGAACGTGACACTCTCATGGCCTTTTCCTGGCCGCACGAGACATCGACAGGACCGCGTGCGTGCACGAGACGCATGCAAAGGATGGTGGATGGCCCACCTAAAACATATCCACGAGTAATATATGTTTTTTTATGGACTCGAGTAATATACTATGTTGACAATCAATCCGAATCTTTAATATATTTTGGGAAATACACATATACTATAAAACAACAAAAATATCACAATAAATCACAGTTTGGCCCATTTACCGCCTAATTATTCATTCG